TTTTTCGTTATTAAGAAGTACACGATCTATTACTAAGCTACGCGTATTTCTTTCGCAATTTTTCCTTAACTACACTTTTTTAGAAATTGGAAGAATTAAATAAATTTCCAGACTTCAACAACTATCTTATTTTTGTTTTAACAAAGCTCACATCAGAGGGTATGTATTTTAAATAACAATATGCTGTGATGTGTCAATTATACAGGATTAATTGTTAATCGTGTTTTTATATTTTAAGATGAACCCACGAGGTCTCTTAGTGGACTGATATTGAAGAATAACGTGAAAGCTCATTTTCATAAATTTTTACCAGAAGTTACAAATTTTATCAAGCAAGAATGTTTATCAGCTGTTGGAGACCCATCACCTCTGATCCGTGCGACTGTTGGTATTTTAATAACTACAGTTGCATCCAGAGGTATATACTTTAAAAGACAATATAATAATGACCGATTACTAAATATTCATGATCCTAATACGAATTTCATTTTTGAACAGGTGAATTGACAACATGGCCAGAGCTACTGCCTGCACTTTGCCAAATGTTGGATTCGCAAGATTTAAATGTTTGTGAAGGTGCATTCGGTGCTCTTCAAAAGATTTGTGAAGATTCTGCAGAAATTTTAGATTCGGATGCACTCAATCGACCTTTAAATGTTCTGATCCCGAAGTTCCTGCAATTTTTCAGACATTCAAGCCCTAAAATTAGATCACATGCTATTGCCTGTGTTAATCAATTCATTGTTAACCGCGCACAGGCTCTTATGATTCACATAGATAGCTTCCTGGAGAATCTCTTCCATTTAGCTAATGATGACGATTCTGAAGTTAGAAAAAATGTTTGCAGGTATTACATCAATAAAATAATATAGTGGGATTGTAAATTATAATTTTTATTATGTATTATTCATTGCAGAGCTTTGGTTATGTTGCTTGAAGTTCGAATGGATAGATTAATACCACATATGCACAATATAATAGAATATATGTTAATGAGGACTCAGGATCCAGATGAAGGAGTTGCTTTAGAAGCTTGTGAATTTTGGCTTTCTCTAGCAGAGCAACCAATTTGTAAAGATGCACTTGCACCACATTTAACTCATTTAGTACCTATATTAGTAAGTGATCAGTGTGAAAAAAAAACATAACATATTTATGTGATACCCTGTACCTATAATTCTGTAATTCTGCCTTTTAGGTGAGAGGAATGAAATACTCCGAAATTGATATAATACTCCTAAAAGGAGACGTAGAAGAAGATGAAATGATCCCAGATCGGGATGAAGATATCAGGCCAAGATTTCACAAATCAAAAACACACCATTCACACCATACTACTATGACTAAACATGGAGACGAGAATGGTGGTTGCGACGAAGACGACGTAGAACCCGAAGACGGATGTGACGACGATTCAACGCTTAGTGATTGGAATTTGAGAAAGTGTTCTGCAGCTGCCCTAGATATGTTAGCAAATGTATTCAGAGAAGAGTTGTTACCCGTTCTAATACCAATTTTAAAAGAAACACTTTTCCATCAAGGTTGGGAAATCAAAGAATCTGGAATATTAGCGTTAGGCGCTATTGCTGAAGGTAAATCCTATTCTCGTTAGTTTTCGTGATAGAAAATTTGTTGTTATGCAACCCGAAATTCTGATCTAATCTTTCATTTCTTATTACAGGTTGTATGGGTGGAATGATTCCACATTTGTCCGAATTAATTCCATATCTAATTAATTGCTTGAGCGACAAAAAGGCACTAGTACGGGCTATTACATGCTGGACACTAAGTCGTTACGCACATTGGGTTTGTGCGCAACCACACGATACACATTTGAAGCCATTAATGACTGAATTACTCAAAAGAATACTTGATGGCAATAAACGAGTTCAAGAAGCCGCGTGTTCTGCTTTCGCAACGCTTGAAGAAGAAGCATGCACGGAATTAGTCCCTTACCTTGGATTTATTCTTGAAACGCTTGTTTTTGCTTTCGGTAAGTGGTAACTTAATATCATAGCTTTGATTTTCGTTATTAACTGAAGTGATGCTTTTAGGCAAATATCAACATAAAAATCTTTTAATATTGTACGACGCAATTGGTACGCTTGCTGATTCAGTGGGACATCATCTTAATAAACCAGACTACATTAACCTTCTTATGCCACCGCTAATTAATAAATGGAACGTATTGAAAGACGAAGACAAAGATCTCTTTCCATTGTTAGAATGTCTTTCTTCTATTGCAACTGCATTGCGATCAGGTTTCCTTCCTTACTGCGAACCCGTGTATAGGTGAGTTTTTCCGGCGATCTATCAGGATTTGTATCTCGATGTATTTGAAGCGCTTATGTGCATTTATTTTTCACTAGGCGATGCGTATCTCTCGTAGAGCAGACGCTAAATCAACATATAGCAAGTACTCAGAGTCCAGAACAGTTTGAGGCGCCTGATAAAGATTTTATGATTGTTGCATTAGACCTACTTAGTGGCTTAGCAGAAGGATTGGATGGTCACATGGAACGCTTAGTAATGAACAGCAATGTAATGCAACTATTGTATCAGTGTATGCAAGACGTTATGCCTGAAGTTAGACAGAGTAGCTTCGCCTTACTAGGAGATCTTACGAAAGCGTGTTTCCAACATGTTCTCCCATGTATACGTGAGTATTGCGCAATTGTTTATAAAGTTAATTTGTATTTTATAACATTGCAGTAGCTTTCACGGTATGGTTTAAACTAACATTCTTTTTATTTGATTGTAGCGGAATTTATGCCTATACTTGGACAGAACTTAAATCCAGAATTTATATCAGTATGTAATAATGCAACATGGGCTATCGGTGAAATAGCTATAAAGCTCGGTAAATATCATTTGGAATTTCTTTGAAATATTTGAAAACACTTCTTACCATTGGCTTGCTATAATAACATATTTGGTTTCTGCTTCGCAGGATCTGACACAAGTGTATATATTCCATTAATTTTGACTCATCTGATCGACATAATCAATAGACTAAATACGCCAAAAACACTATTGGAAAATACGGGTGAGTAGTTCTGCTATATACCCAAAACGTATAGTCTCTTTTATACAGCATAGCATATGGAGCATACTTTTAAATGGTAGGGGGTAATGAGTAGTAAAGTTTCATTTTTTAAGTAATGCAATAACATCGACTACGTTATTACTGTTCACCCATATCGTAGAAGTAATATACCTTTTCTTAGAAGTATGCTCTGCACATGAGGGGAAACTTTTCATTTGTGGCATCTTGTTTTACACCTACGTTCGCGGTATATTACGAAGAAAAGTACATGTATAGATCTTAGCCATGCATTTTAGGCAAGAAATAATAACTTTCCAATGAGAAGTCTCCGAAATATATGAACAAAAGAAAAGTCCTCACGTTAGATTCAGCATTCGGTGGCATTTTAAGTTTAGGTGCATTTTCTTGTAAATGATTATTATCAAAGGTAATGACCACACAGATTGACGACTTCGGGTGGTTCTTCACATGGCCACGCTTGCACGTTTTATCAGCGGGTTAAATAATTAGTATCTGTACATTGGACCTAATTTAGTGGTGTGCGATTGCCTGCAGGCTTTATATGGCTGTTACTGCCATGAAAACGTACTGCGATTCAGTATTATACTATTTGCTTGCATCTATAAGCCCCAGATATTTTTTCAACCAGTGTTATATTTAAATTGGCCTTAAATTCACGACCAAAAATTTTCGTTTTGTGTTTCTTGGTTGTCTTATTTGTATTAACATTATTTAAATATATAGGATGTTTAAGAATACGCAGGCTTAACTTCACTGGTGTATTCATTACAGTAAAATAGGGGAAAAAACGTTTATATAAACATGCCCGATACGACCTTGTTTCCGAGATACGACTGTTTTTATGTTATCTTAATTATTTATCTCCTTTCGTTGAAATTACTCCAAGCGACTGCCAATACAACGTTACATTCAATAAGACAATACATTTTGTGCATATCTACCGTTTCGCAGTAAAACATTGTAATGTTATAAAATGTTTATACTACTGTACATGATACATGGGATTAGTTTGAAATTTGGTTACATCTCGGAAAGCAAGGTCACATCAGGCATAGCATTATTTTAGTGTGTTAAGTATGCCAGTAAAGTTATGTTTGCATATTCGAAAACACTCTGTATACATATATATACATATATATATATATATATATTGGTAGAGATATCATACTCATGATGGTTTTTATCGAATCATGGGCTCGCACGCTGCTATCTAATTTTTATTATTGTTTCAGCAGCTATAATAGCACGGTATTGCCTATGTTCATTGTCGGTATCTCATATGTTCTCACCTCTGTTCCCACTGTCTCTATTGATTGTTGATATTAAATTGATTATTATTGATTAAATGATTAATTACAAGTTAATTGAAAGTTATAAACGACAACATGTTCGCCTGAGTTGATATCGTTGGTTCGCTATCAGTTTGTCTTATTGTTTGTGTTTCCGGTCACTTCACTACACTTCACTTGTCTACTTACCGAAATGAAAATGAAACCGTAGCCATAACGATCGGTCGCCTAGGTTATGTGTGTCCCCACGACGTCGCCCCCATGTTACAGCAGTTTGTCCGACAGTGGTGTGTAAATTTCTTTATTATTATATTCTATTAATTATTATATTACCTTCTATTTTTATTAGCACTTTATTATTATATATTTATCCCGATTATTCAGTACATTGCATCAGGGGCTGCTGAGAACTTTTGCGCAAGGATATTGCCATAGCATTCATGATCTATGTAATTGAGTCCATAAGGAATTTGATTTTTTTTTTACAAAATTCAAAAAAACAGATTTTAAATGATACTGACTTGTGACCTCTACTAAACTTGCCCAATAGTTGTTTGCAGTACTTTGAAGGTTTTACATTCAATTGTTTATACAATATATTTACCTTCATTTACCACCGTGCAAGTATGTTATGGGCTCTTTAATTATGCAGTTCGAGAGACTAGGGTAGGTTTACATTTGTCACTTTTTAGGTCTATGTACTATTTTTCGCCTATGTATTATTGCCTTGCATTGAAAACTAGAAACATACCTTTCTCTTTTTTTTTCCACATACTTTCACTGTGTATAGGTAGTTTCAGTCAGAAGTGTCCTTTGCATGTCAGCAATAACACAGTATTAATATTAATCAGATACACTCTCTTAGTTATATTCTTGCTGTAATCTAATACCTTCTTTTCTTGCGATTATAAAGAGATTAAAAAGATAAAAAGAGATGTCAAATGTAAACCAAACCTTAAGAGAATCGTCAACATAGAGTGAGGTTTTACTAAGTAAGATTCAATATTAGTACTGTTCGTAAAATTTTTGTAATACTAATTTATTTTCTTTAATTAGTTGACTCTCAGAAAAGAATCAATTATAGGAAGCAAATATAGGACTGGCCTTCAATAAAGCCAAGTTTTGCCTCATTAAATGTTAGTTATAAGAATCTATTTCTGTATAACTTGTGGGAATGAATATTATACGAAGTGACTAGCTGTCATTGTTACCATAATCACATTCTTATGAATGTAACCAATTATACTAAGTAGGAAGGAGGTATACTCATCGTTTATAAAATATTCATTAATGGAAATATATTTCATTCAAAAATTTCAGAGAATCGCTGTACTTAAATGTTACGCATAACGCGTATTGTTTTATTCGTTTACAATGAGTATACCTTCTACCTTAAATGTGGGCCATCAGAACCGAATAATGTGTACAAACGTTTTGTTAGGTGTACTTCCCTGCGGAGCATAAGAGACAATGAAGAGAAGGACTCGGCTTTCAGAGGTATGTGTCAGATGATAACGGTGAACCCAGCAGGAGTTGTGCAAGACTTTGTCTTCTTTTGTGATGCTGTCGCGTCTTGGGTCACACCTAGAGAAGATCTTAAAGACATGTTTCAAAAGGTACAGAGAAAAACCAATTATTGAAGTCAGTGACCTCCATCAGCTACTTTGTCTCTTCAATTTAATATCTGTATATTTCTGTCCAACAGATACTACATGGGTTTAAAAATCAGGTTGGTGCGGAAAATTGGAAACGATTTTCAGATCAATTCCCACCACAGCTCAGTGAACGACTCCATAACATGTATGGTGTCTGAGCAGCCCTCCCTAAATGCGGTAAGTTTACATAAAAACATTACTAAGATAATCATACACAATAGGATCCATTCCACTGAAATTTACTCAGAACACACAGTTAGGAAACGCAAGAAACTACAATGTATTTCCCAATATCGATCTCCCTATACGTTCTATCTATTTATCTTATCAGCTATTCATTCACACTAAAGAGTTACCGTTAATTAAGAAACAACTTCTCCGTATCTTCTCCCCATTAACGCTATCTAATATAAAAGAAGGGATCGACTCGGTCAGCATTTCTCTAGTACCACCTCTGTACTGAAAAATGTTAAAGATCATGAACGTGACCGCTGAAGAAATGATTTGCATACATATTACTCCGATCACGATCTTCCAATAAAAAGTGACCTTCTATAAAGTGTTGAAAACAGAACAACGTTGCGAGAAGTTGAAGATATTTACATAGAATATTAACAAAATAATAAATGCTCCAGTTCTTTTACCAAATGTGAAACAAACTTAATGTTAATCTGTACACGAAAATTCTAAAGAATGATTAGATACTGAAACACTTTATGCTGCGAATCAAGGAAATTACGGGGGTTGTAGTAGTAGAACTTTCCATGTCGAACTCTTCTTGAATCTTACAATGAGAAAAATGTTTCTACCTTGTTCGTTTAAGTTGAATGTGAAGATAACACGAAGTAATCTCGTCTATTTCAGAAGGCCGCTTAACGGGGCAGGCCGAACGGGGTTGGGCGGGAAACAGAACTATGGGTGGACAGGGTGGGTGGGTGAAACCACGGCCTCTTCTCATCAACATCGTTGTCGTTACCGTGTTATGGTCATCGTTAGGCTCCCGGGGGAACTAATCGCGTCAT